TGTAGAACAGCTTTGGGGAGGGGACTGGGGTGGTGTTCTTGTTGCTGGTCCTCTCCAAGTGATTGTTGCCCTCCTGTTTGATGGATTCCAGGGAAATTCTGCTGGTTTGTCTTCATTGTCTCTGGGGTGCTGGCAGGATGCTGGAGCAGGATGAGGGGTTTTCCGCCCCTTTTCTTGGGTAAAAAGCAGGAGAGGAGTGGCTTCCAAAGCTGATTACAGATGTCATGAAAACATATACGGGTGTTTGGCAAAAAGTAGATGATTGTCAGAGAGACTTCTCAGCACAGTTACCCTGAAAGTTTTTCTGGGGAGCACTGAGGTCCCTGGGATACTGCAGGATCCTGGAGATGGTTGTTCGGGAGGGCAGCAGAAAGCAGGTGCTGGCACAGGGCTGCAGCACCCACAGAGCTGTGGGGAGCTCGTGCCTGTGCCGGGAACAAATCCCCTCCCGTTTGGGTGGGAATAGCGCCGGTTTGCTCGTCGCCACTTGGTAGCGAGAGAAGGGTGTTTGTGACCCTGTGCCGGGATACGGGAGGGATCAAAAGGCACCTTCTGCCTCCTCGCAGGGGGAAACGTCCCCGGCGCTGCATCCCCTGCCCTTAAACCGCAGCGGCTGCCCTTGAGCCTGATGGATGGAGGCAGCGGCTCCGGCGGAGCAGAGAGGACACGGAGCAGCGATCCGCATCACTAGTTGCTTCCCTTCATTTTCTCTGGTCCCGTTTTAGCCACTGGCCCAGCCAGACTCGGTGATTGCTCAGGGGACTGGGGGCCCGGAGGTGTCGCAGCGTGGGGAGGAGGCCCAGGGTCCCTCTGCCCTCTGTGGGGACAGTGTGAGTCCAACCACCCTTGGAAAAGCAGCAAATCTAGAATATTCTCCTGCCCCTGTGCTTCCCGCTCTCCCCGCTGCAGAAGGCAGCCCTCTGCCTTCAAACAGTTTCTATTCTATGTAGAGCAAGCAAAAATGATGTGTTAAATACAGCCCGGGCTGAAGCCCTGAATCAAATCAATTCCTTTTTGATTCTCCAGGCTTTTGAATCCCCAGCCCTGCCGGAGGATTGTTAGCACAAGAATGAGGCTGAAGGAGCAATCCTTTCGCAGCGCTATTGACTCAATTATTTTGCCTCTTGATTTTCTATGAGCGGCCGCGCCGATATTCTGATTGCTAATGGCAGAGCATTGTTCCGCACCTCGGGCTGGAATACCGACGGCCGGGGCTGGAGCGCCGCCATCCCCCCGCGCTACGGGTGGCATCGGGGCCTCGTTTTATTTTGATGGATGCACAGGGGGTGTGCAGAGCACAGGGGGTGTGCAGAGCACAGGGGGTGTGCAGAGCACGGCCTTTCCCCGCCGGGACCCTCCGCTGGGCTCGGGGCTGTCGCTGCAGGGAAGGGAAGGGTTCTGGCTCCCGTCAGGCCGGGCCGGGCCGGTGACCTTCCCCCGTCCGCCCCGGCATCAGCCGCTCCTGGGATGTTGGGATCGATGGGGCCAGCGCGGCACAAAGCGGCGAGGTTGCATTTACACAGAGTCACGACTATCAATATTGACAGCTCGTCCTTTGGGCCGGCGTGTGCTGTCAGCCGGGCTGGTGATGCCCCAGAGGCCGCCTGTGCCCCTCGCGGGGGGGACACCGGCAGCTCCGGCCCCGTGCCCTGGTGATGATGCTGTGCCCGGTGCTCAGGAGGTGATGCTGAGCCTGGCACTGGGTGCTGCGCCCCTCCAGGTGTTCACCTCCCTTTGGCATCTCGGCTCAGGCGTCCTCGTCCTCAGCCACTACAAAGCAGGACAGGGATGGGACGTGGCCTCGGATCCACCTCCAGCCAGGAAGGTTTGGAGCCCACGGCCCAGCCGAGCTCACTCTTTCAAGATAAAAGAGAGGAATTCCCCACCCATCTAAAGGTGGTGAAGGACCGATAGGAAGCACTTTGAATCTCTGGATGAAAGGAGCTGGGAGGAACAAAATGCTGCCTTGCTTTGAAGATGCAAAGCCCTGCATAATTCCTGAGCAGTTTCATTGGTGGCTCAAACACGTCGCAGCCTTAGAAAAGGCAAAGGTAGGAACTTTCACCTGCCTTTTATTCTTGCTGATGTTTGTCACATCAGTGCCCACACAGTGCTGTGTAGGATGTGCCAGAGCCCTGCCTGGTGTCACCAAGTGATGGAGACACTGGAAGTGCTGATTCCACACCCACTCCCGTCTCTCCATGACTGGAGCCAGCCAGGGTCACCCGGTTAATGCACGTTTCAGTCTTCATTGCCTTTTTAACTAGTTTTTAATCAGTAATTATTAGTGAGTGGGAGCAGTGTGCGGGCTCCTCTCTCCCGCTCCCGCAGCGAGTGCCACTCAATATGTCACGGCAATTAGCACCCAGTGGCAGCAACAGACTGTGGGCTGGACACTGCCACCATCGCTGGGACCTCAGCTGGTCCCCAGGCTGCCAGGAAAGGCAACAGAGAATGGGAACGTGCCTGAGCATCACCAGCCCTGACCCCATCAGGGTGGAGTTGTTAATGCTGGAGAGATCAAGCTGGGTGTGCAGACTTGGGGACCTGGGCTCGCTGCCAGCCAGGGATACAGTGGCTTGGAGGGAGTTTTTCCACTCATAGCAGAAGGAGACTTTGATTTCACAAGGGCATGCAGTGATAGGCAAGGGGAGCACAGCTTGAAGCTGAAGGAGGGCAGATTAAGTTGGATATTAGGAAGAATTTAATTTTATTAGGAGGGTGGTGAGGCCCTGGCACAGGTTGCCCAGAGCAACTGCGGCTCTCCCATCCCTGGAAGTGTTGGATGGGGCTTGGAGCAACCTGGTCTAGTGGAAGGTGTCCTTGCCCAAGGCAGGGGGGGTGGAACGAGATGGTCTTTAAGGTTCCAACCAAACCATTGCATGGTTCTGTGATGTCCTTTGTTTGCCCCTCAGAGCAGAAATGCCGGAGCGGCGGCTGCGCGGGAGCCAGTGCCGGCCCGTGGGAGCCTGCTCCGTGCTAATTCCAGCCGTTGCCGTGGAGGTAAATAGCAGGAATCAGCCTTTGCCTGATGCACAAACGGAGTCAAGTAGCGGTGCCCTTTGCAAAGTGCTAATGAATTACAAGTGTCTCTCCACACACAGGCGCTGCCACCGCCTCGTGACCAGCTGAAAACTGCAGCCCCTGACATGTGGAGCTGCTGGAACTGCTCATGCCTGACGGTATTTAAAATAATTGAAGGCAGAATGGTATAAAGGGGGTAGGTTTTTTGGGGTGGGTTTCGTTATCATCAGGGTTTCAGTGCTCTCAGGCTGGGTGGCACCCGGGCTCACGCTGCCACAGGGACCAGTACCCAGCGGAACAAATGAGCTTTAAACCTCTCTATTTTATTATTCTTTATTAATAATGAGGCGGCCCTTGTAAATAGCCATGAAAGGAAGTGCTTAAGCTCATAATTAATAAATGCTGGCTTGATTTCTGCTGCTGAACTGCGGCCTCCAGATGCAAGGCTCTGCTGAAGAGCAGGGGGTGCTCAAATTCTCACTGCAGGTTAATTAACCTGGGAAACACCCCCTGGGGCCCTGAGATAGCCTGGACAGCCAGGACAGCCATCCCCAGTGTGGGGTATCACAGAGCTGAGCCCAGTGGGGAGGGCTGGAGGGGCAGGGGTGCAGGATGGGGAATTGGGGGTACAGGATGGAACACAAGGATGCAAGAGCTTGCCTGCCCCACGGGTACCACTGCAAGGACTCCCCAGGGCTCGGTGCCCAAAGCCCCCCACATGGGTGACACTGCATAACCCCAACAGCCCTGTCTGCCTCCTGCAGCTCATCGCTTCCACTCGGCCATAAATGTTTATGACAGTAGGGAGAGAAAGTAAATCACATTTATCTCCCTTGTTTTCTTTTTATCGGGGCACTAATTTGACAGGGAAGGGAAATTTTTGCTTATTTTACAACTCTGATTTGGGCTGCAATTTGATTTCAGTAGCTGGGAGGCGAACGCAAAATCTTATTTTTATTCTGGAGCCGGTAGAAAAATTTCCATTTTGACACCGACCCCCACTCCCATTTCAGTGCTGCTCCAGTGGGCCCGCGGGCCTCGCACAGAACACATCACCCACATATAATACACTCATAATTCACTAATGTTTGCTGAATGACAGGGTTAAGTGGCTGCTATTCCCTGCCTCCCACCACACTAATGTACTCCAGACCCGTGCTCCTTTTCTTCTGGATTGCAGTCAAATCGTTTCCTGCAGCCCTCGCACTGGAAGCTCCTTCCACCCCAAATAAACACGACTTCCGAAATTATTTTCATTTGTTTTTCTAATCTAATTTTCCCCTCGGTGCTCCACTAATCATCAATCCCATTAAGGGCTTGATGTGTTGACTGCTTTCCAGAGAGCCTGTCCTGCGTCCTGCCGTGCGCTGACCTTCACCAGCACCGTCCCCGCGGAGCCCCCCGGCACGGCTGCACCCCGAGGAGAGGCCTGGAGGGTTTGTGGGGCTGGTGGGGCTGCAGCGTCCCCTCCATCCCTACCCAACTCCACATCCCAACCTCCCCAGGGAAGGGACCTGCAGGAACCTGTGTCGTCCCAGGTGGAATAACGTGAATGTTTAAGATAAAGGAGGACGGGAAGGGGGAGTTGGCTCCGCTCCATTCTGAGTGCCAAAGGGAAACAGCCTCTGGTGGAGTATCCGAGCTGGGAGAGGGTGTGAAGCCAGACAGTGTGTGTCACTCTGATGAGGAAAATGCACAGCAAGGATCTGTGGGAATTCATCCAACTGGATTGGGAACACATGGCCACCCGCTGCCCTCCCGGGTATGGGATTAGTGCTGATCGTGCCAGAAATGTGCCTGGTGGGGCACAGGATGAGGGACCACGCTTGGGCCCCTGTGCAGGGGGACAAGGGCTGTGCTGGGCCAACCCTGCCACTGGGAACGCGAGGGGCGATGGGCTGATGGGTTTTTGGGGTATGAGGCTGATCTCCCCTCCCAGAATAAATATTCCCTGCCAATGAAAGGGACTCCACGGATCTGTTCAAAACAGTTTATTGTATTTTTTCGTCAGACAAACACATTGATTTCTGGACCACAGTAGAGGATGGAAACCTTTCACAAACTTATTTATTTGAAAATACAAATATAAAATTATACTTTCCACATCTGTGATGTGAGAGACCCCCATCCACATAGTATTTTACAACAGGGCTTCAGAAAGCCATACACAGAGACCTGAAAGATGCTTGATATATATAGATACATATATATATGTATATATATAAAAAAAAAGTCACTACCAAAGTTCTCATCAGTTCATACTAAAGTATAAAAGGAAGGGCTAGGCCTGCCACTGTGCCATAGTTTATTTAGGTACATTTATGACCACCTGAAATGCTCACTTGCATCCTAGTACTGATGGAGTTCAGACCTCGTACAACAGAGAATGACGGGGTTTTGCTACCTACGACGGTCGACGCGACAGACGAGCCCAGGGGTGGAGTGACGGGGACGGCCCCGCTGCCCCCGCGCCGGGCCCGCCCTGCTGGGACACGGAGCTCTCGACACAACACAGTCAGGACTGTTGGGGGGGACCGAGAACCGACCACGAGGATTTACTTTCTCGAGCTACTCTTTTTTTTTTTTTTTTTTTTTTTTTTTTTTTTTTTTCCTTTTTTTTTTTTTTTTTTTTTTTTTTTTTTTTTTTTAGTTTTTCCCGTGTTTTTTGTTTTTTTTTTGGTAATTTTTATTACAGTATTAAAGTATTGCTTAGCTTACAGAATCTCCTCACGTAGTGTTCGCACACGGCAATGGGTTCGACTGGATTCTGTACGTAGGAAACTCTACAGTGTCTGTGCGCAGACCGGGATCTGCCGGTGTGTCTTCGATGCATCCTGTCTCTTCGCCTCAACTCTAACCTCAGTTTTTCCTCTCTTTGAACTATTTCGCTTAAAAAAACAAACCAAACCACTAAAAAAAAGAATTCAGAAGATTCCACCCGAGAGACATCGCCATAGCATAAAAGACAGCTATGAGTTAGTGTTGGTTTTCGTTTTTGTAAACAGTTTCATATGCAATATCATACAGAACCATGGCTGGCCTTCAGTAAAAATGTAGTAAACTATATTGCTTTATTATTGATTATGTTGCATTGAGTGAACGGCAGAAACGAAACGAGAAGGGAGTGTGGCTGGAGTCGCTAGCCCTCATTCACACTACGGATGAAAGCAGCATCCCAGGCTGCCCAGCAGGGAAGAAAAGAAATCCCAACACCTTTCAGGTCGTTATCACCCACAATTACCTAATGGTTTAAACTAAGCCTAGCAAGATGTGTGACATTCACCAGCAGACGCTGCTGTACAATGGAAAAAAATTAACTTACAGCAAAGAGAGCCATGCTACCTTAAAGTCCAAGCTACAAATTCAACTCAAAGTGAACATTTAGGAAGTATAAGAAAAAATTAAAAACCCCAAAGGACAGATCAGGCTTCGTTTTAATCAAGCCGATCCCAAAGGACTTGGGTTACTTGACGGGGGAGGGTCCCCGAGATCTTGTGGCTCCTGTAAAATGTCCCTGGTGTCTGGGACACGGCCTGTCCCAGGGCACAGCCGGGCAGGGATGGACCCGCTGCTGCTTTGGGTGCCCAGGTCCCCCAGCAGGGTGGAAATCTCTCTTTTTGGTCATTCTGGGGGGAGCGGGTCCACGTGGGAGATTTGGAAAGCACAGGGCAACATCCCTCGGAATGAGGGATGCCAGGACAGGCTGTGGACTCTCCATCCCTGGAGGTGTCCAGGCCAGGCTGGACAGGGCTTGGAGCAACCTGGTCCAGTGGAAGGTGTCCCTGCCCATGGCAGGGTGGAACTGGATGGGCTTTAAGGTCCCTTCAGCCCAAACCAGTTCACGATTCCGTGATCCTTCACTCGCTGGGCTTGAGTAAAACAAAGATGGAGCTGAACCTTTGCGCTGAAAGAAATTACAAAAAAACCCCCCAAACAAATGAAGAAAAAAAAAAAATCCTTCAAAATGGATTTCTAGATGAGTGGGGGACTAACGTGAACCTTAGTCTAGGTAGCCACATCAAAACATCCCGGATTCCACGACATTTGTGCTATGGGGCCACTGGGACTTCTCAAAAGGTATATAAACATCTAAAACATATTCACACAGATTAGCAATTTCTTCTGAGCATTCTTAAAAAAATATGTTTTTTTTTTTTTTTTTTTCTCTTAGTAAAATCGTTTTAATATACCGTGCCTCCCTCTTTTAAAAAATAAATTAAAAAAATCCAGTTTTGCATATCTAGCATTAGCATTTAAGGTAGTATGGCACATCCCCTATCCAAAGTCAAGGGTGGGGATCTACAAATGCCTTAGGAGTTTGCCAGCATTTTTAACATTGTGAGACCTTTGGTTAGTTGAAACCGCATCAGATCAGCAAAAGAAAAATAATAAACAGAGAAAAAAAAAAAACAGAAAGAAAAGAGAAAAGAAAAAGAAAGGAAAACCTTCCCAAAATTATTAGCATTTTTTTTTTTTCTTAAATAAGAGAAAGTTCTATCCTTACTGGTCCTAAATCTGAATAACTACATCTAAATTTTTAACCTTAATTACGATACACCTACCAATATGTACTAGAAGGGGAAGAGAGAAAGAGGGGGGGAAAATTCACTACACTAGCATCAGGACAGCACTCTTACAAGATAAGCCATTTTATACACTATTAACATACAACAATGATCAACAAAGAATATTCTATGAGGTGACAGGGAATGGAGAGGAAAACCAACTGGTAGTACAGTACATCATCAACATTGACAAAATAGCAATAAAAAATTCCCTGACGGCACATTGAATCACAGGGAATTTGGTTCGTCCTTTTTTTTTTTTTTTTTTTTTTTTTTTTTTTTTTTTTTACAACTTTTTATTTTTTAAAGAATCGTTTTATTTCTTTTATTACTTGATCAAGTCTCAATATTTAAAAAGCGTCCAGCATTTTGCTTAAACCTGGTTGTTCTGAAATAAGAAAAAAACCTAAAATATTACATAAAAAGCATGATTTTTTTTTTTTTAAAAACAAGAAAAACAAGGTTTTCTCCTTTCGGTTAGCAGTATGGTGCCTTGTTTTTGTTAAAGATGCCTTGCTCTACCTTGTCTATTGAATGTCTACATTAGTCTACTTGTTAGTAAAATTTACAAAAATAGGAGTGCAGCAGCTCTTTTTAACAAATGTCGCATTCAGTGTCTTATACTGGCTGTACCTAAAGTACCAAATTTATAAACGTAACAATTTAAAAAAATATTAATAAAACTTGTCAATATTACGTTAAAAAAAGAAGAAATATATCCACACTACAGTATGTTCTTAATGCCACCTACCATGTTGTACTTCTAGTTTGCTGTTGCAGGCCTATTTACCAATATTAAAAAAATTAAATTAAAAAATATCCTTCATAAGTTTCCTCCCCCAACAGAGGACCATATATATAACAGCCAAATATTAAACATGTGCAAATAGGAAACTGTCAGTTTTTCCCCTACCAGTCACAGTGCAATGATGTTTTATACTTTATTTCTTTTAAATTCTGTTTACAACTACAATAAATTAAAATCTTCCGTTGCTTCTAGGGTGAAACTTGTAGCACTGAGGTATTCCCAAAAAAAAAAAGAACCAAAAAACCAAAAAAAAAAAAAAAAAAAAAAAAAAAAAAAAAAAAAAAAAAAAAAAAAAAAAAAAAAAAAAAAAAAAAAAAAAAAAAAAAAAAAAAAAAAAAAAAAAAAAAAAAAAAAAAAAAAAAAAAAAAAAATAGAAATCAAAACCAACCAAAGTTGCCTTCCTAATTTGTTGATGCAGAAAGTGATGGATAATAAAGGAAACCATGCAAGCTGGGCACTGCTCTGCCCGCAGCGGGGCTGGGCAGGGTGCCCAGAGCGGCTGAAATGACTGGACAGCAAGTTGATCGAGTTTAAAACAGTGACTGAGAAATAACCAAAAAAACCAACCAAACAAACAAAGGTGTGCTTTGAACCGTAAATGCGTTGAGTAGGAAAAAATCGTAGCTTCTTGATCAGTCTTGGGAAAAGCAGGTTTTTTAAATTAAAATAAAAATACCACTAGACTGTTCCTTTGTAAGCTGTGCACGTCTGAGAGCGAAGCTGCTGGTTTGAACTGGGAGAGCTGGGAGGGTCCCACAGCGTCACGACCCACCCTGGGCCAGCTCCGGCAGTCGCTCCAAAAGGCTACAACTTCCTTGTCTTTTTTCTTCCATTTTCACAGAGAAACTGCCTTAGGCTGACTCCATCACAAAAATAGGTTTGTATTTCTCTTTCTTAATAGCTTCTATGTAGTTAATGGAATTGTATTTACAGCATTTTATTATTTTTTTCTTTTTTTTTTTTTCAGAATTCACAATTTCAAAAAACCTTATATCACCTCTTTCAACAAAAAAAAGCACTTATAGAAAAAAGGACGCGCAAAAAGTTTGTCGCCCTCGCCTTATTGCCGAAAATAGAGAGAATCAGAGTTAACGAAGACGCCACAAAGGAAAAGAAGGGCTAGAGAACCTGTTGCTCAACCCCCTCGTGCCCCACCGGCCCCCCCCGTGCCGTGCCCACCGCCGGCTCCGCTCCCCTCGCGGCGGCGGCAGAGCCGGGACCGGCGGCTGAGACTCCTGTCACCATCTCAGCATCCTTTAAGCAACAACAACTGCGTAAAACAGGAGGGAGGGGGGGAGGAGGTGGGAAAGAAAAACCAAAGAAACCCCTTAATATAACAATTCCACTATGGTTAGGCTGCGCTAGGTACACAAAGAATTCCGACTACGTGGCTACGAGACTATGTCAAACGCTACGAAAAAATGTGGGTTTGGAGAGGTTTAAAAAGGGGGGGGGGGGAAACCCATCGAGAAAATAAAACCAACAAGAAATGGGTTTTATATACATACTTTTAAAAGCTGTTGTTTTTATAGTACAGCAGATTCATGAGATGATGAGAGAGATTTTTAACAACCCAAGTCCTTCGAGTGCCACCTCCAGTTTGTGTTGGCGGTGAAGATGATGATGGTAATGATGTAGTGCTCAAAGTCTGATGAGATCACCCAACGTGGGCCCCTTCAGAAACTTCGCCCTGTCTTGCCCGGACATCCAGAGAGACTCTGCGAGGGGAGAAGGTGGACATGGACATGGGGAGAGGGACAGTTAATTTGAGGTCAATTAGGATTTTTAACATAAAAAACCCCAATTGTTTGCAAATGCTTTGCAAAGCCACAGCCTGCTCTGATCCACGCTGAGGGTGGGTGCAGAGCGACAGGTTGGAACGCCAAGGTGTTCCCTGGACAGCCCTCACAGGAGAGGGCACTATCTCACGTATTCCCTGCTCTCAATTTCCATTTCCATCCCAGCTAAGGCTGGACTGGGGATGGGCTGGGCTTAGCTGAGGGTTGGGCTGGTTTAGGAACAGTAAAATGTGACTTGATACATGGGAAGGACAAAAACTGTTCCTCAGGCACCTGTTACTCCAGGAGTTAACACAGCTTCGGTACAATGAGTTCTCTCTGAAGTACCTGGAAGGTGACAACTCCTATCCAGGCACACTGAGGCACCCAGGATTTATTTTATATCAGAGGCTTCAGCTTCCAGTGCTCCGTCCCTGCTGATGCTTAACACTGAGATATATAATGTATAAAAGAGATATAAATACTAGGGACTGGTTCTGCAGGCAGCTGCTGGCAGGACTGGCTGTGGCCAGGACACTCCCTGCTCACAGATTTGGGATGAACTCCAAAAGCCATTCCCAATCAGCTGCGCTCAGGCCGAGGTCCCACCAGAACCCCACAGGGATGTGGGAGCTGATTCCTCCCACAGCTGAGCCAAATTCAGCCCCTCCAGCCCCACCTTGCTCCAGGGACGTGGGGACAGCCGGGATGTGCCGCTGCCACAAGAATCTCAAACTCAGTGTTCCTTGAGGAATTAATAATAAGGCTCATTTCCTCCTCTCAAAATCTATTTTAATTAGTAATGAGCAGCATTAAAAGCACTTTGTTTTTAAGCCGTTAATGGTTTGAGTCTTAGCACTGGGCAGTAACTGATGGTTAGGGGGATGTGCCGTGGTAAGAGCCGAGCGATTACAGCTCATCAATCTGGCGACGGCGCCGTCACCGCGCGTTATTAGCCTGAGTTATGATGTTCTGCTCAGGCTCCAGCCGGCCCAGGGTACCACCTCGCTCTTCCAAAGGCTGATGGCCCAGAAAACGCGAAGGATTTTGACAAATCGATCGGCGAACAGACACCGATACGTGCAAGTAAGAGTGCTTATGGCACTTCCTTCTTTCCCACAAAAAACACTCCTTGCTGGAGCAAATCGGTTTCAGGTGATCTTGGGGGTGTGTGTGGAGATGGAAAGTAAACAGAACCCCCTTTTATTCACTAGTGTTTAGGTATAGATCTATTTTTATGTAATTTAAAGCCTCCAACCATTCTCCAGTTCCCAGCCCCCTGACTAACTGTAACTCTAATTTCGTAGACTGATTTTTGAATGTAAAGCAGTGATCAGGTAGTGCTGGCAGGAGGCAGGGAAATAGAATCTGTAGTATCCATTCCATCTGCCTGTCAGGGCTCGGTGCTCTGCAGGTAAATCTGTGCCATTTAATTGGGGTAACTTCTGTTTTTCATTGAATTTTCTAATCTATTCCATTCCGGGTGTTAAGAATATTTGTTTGCAAAGACGAATATGCCAAAGGCCAAATAATAATAAAAAATAAAAATTAAACATTTAATTAACTCGAGCTTAGTTCAAAGGGTAGGAAACTGGCAGCGATCCAGGGCCGTGGTGCTCAGGTAATGTCTTTAATTTAATTTGCTCAGGTTTAATTTTTTTTTTAATCTTGATAATTGCTCTATGGTTATGACTTACAATGTTATCTTTTAGCTGTAATATTTGGTACAGCACTTAATTATGAATGATGGTTTCTCCATAGTAAAGCAGTGGGGCTCAGCTATTTTTAGACCAGTGCACTGGGAGCAGATCTCTGATCCCACTGGGATTGCTGGATGTTGGCCCTGGGGTGATTCCCCACAGCTTTCTGGGTTTTCTGCAGCATTTCCTGCTCTTCAAATTACTGCACAAAGCACGATGAATATGAAAAAGTTATTTCTGGGGGGGGTTAGCTCTGGATCTGTCTTCCAGTTTCCGACCTGTGAGGTTGATTTCAGTAACACAAATCACAGAAAGGAATGATTAAAGGCCAAGGAAAGACGAAATGAAGATAAAAAATTGTTCACTTAAAGTAAATATAGGGGAGATGGTAGTTCAGCACAAAGTACAAATGGGATATACTGTAATACCTCCAAGTGAGATGGCAACCAACCATGTGTAACGTTTCAATGGTATCCATTTGTAAAAGCCGTTGCAATCAAAGGTCCCTAAAATTGTACAATTGTTAAGTTCATCAGTGCTCTATACATGGGAACAGCTGATTATTAATTTTGCCAAGAAATTATCAAAGGACTTGAAAGACTGTGTTGCCAGCATGAATAGGGATTTCCAAGAGCTGTTCTGGTCACCAGGTGTGCTCAACCCTACGGTTACCTTTCCAAGACCATCGTCTTCTCATTCCCCCAGGAGCAAAAAATAAGCTTTGGGGTCTTCCCTTCTTTATTTTTAAACCAGGGTTAGTAAATGGAGAGTGTTAAATAAATATGTACGTAAAAAAAGCTACGGGATTCTTTGCAGTTATTGGGGGAATTAAGAGGCTGCCAATCTGCAAGTTAATTATAAAATGGTTTGGGGGAGTTAGTGCAGACAAATCCGGATACCCAGGCTTGGACCTCGCATCCCATCACTTGAAAAACTGGGATACTGCTGAGGCCAAAGTGCCCAAGTTTTCAAGCACAAACAGGTCTTTCTCTTTAGGCGAAAAATGAAAACAGGAGGTGCTATAAGTGGTAAGAGGTGGCAGTTTTGAACTGATGTAGCTCTTATCAGAGCAGTAATACTCCATGTTCGGTACTAGGACTGATCCACAGGGATTGCCAAGTCCCTGGTGTGACCCTGGGAGGGACAGGGTGGGAACGGAGGGCACAAAGGGAGGCAGAGGGTTCGTTTGCCTTTTTTGGGTACCGGCTGCTCCTGCAGTGGAAGTAACACAGCCTCAGGAAGTTTGTCTGCACTACACTCCCGCTCCCTCCCCCCAGTTCCATCAGGGAGCTGAGTTCTCCACTCAGTTCGTGGGAAGCTCAGGGGAGCCTCCGCACTTCCTCGTTGTCCGAGAGGACAAAAAAAAAAACAAAACACCTCCTAATTTTATTCCGGAGTGTGGGCGAGTGCCAGCCGTGGCAGGGCAGCCCCATTCATGCTCACACACAGTGACACAGCCACGTGCAGCCTGGTTAAGCCAATCTGTGCCCCTCATTAGTGCGATCGCAGACCCAACGCGGCGTTAGGAGGCACCTCCCAGCGACCCGACAGCGGAACGGAAGCCACTTGCTCATAACCTGCGGATTTGAGGGGCTGTGAGTGATGCCATGACTGGCTGGAAGTGATTCCAGGGGTCAGCAAACCGGTGAAGGGCAGCAGGACATGGCCGTTCCCTCGCCAGGCTGGCTGTGGCCAACCTGGGGTCCCACCAGCTGAATTAATGAGCTGATTGAGGTGGGAGCGAGGGACTGCTGCTCTATCTGCAACAGGTGCATCAGCCAGGATGGGTGGCTGGGCTGATATAGAGCCCATATGGATAAGCAGGAATTTAAATCCCCTAATTATTAAATATTCCCCTCTGAGATGTGTCCGGTCTGGCTGCGGAAGGCTCCAGACGAGCATTTATGCCAAGAGGGGTTCAGGTTGGATATCAGGAATAATTTGTTCACCAAAAGAGGGGTTAAACATTGGAACGGGCTGCCCAGGGCAGTGGAGGGGTCCCCATCCCTGGAAGCGTGGCAATTTGCGGCACAGTCTGGTTGACAAGGTGGCGACCGGCCAAAGGTTGGGCCTGAGGGCTTTTCCAACCCTGATGATTCTGCGATTGATGACTCCGGTCATCGATCAGCGTGGTGGGCCGGGCACAGCTCTCACGGGTTACGGCAGCGAGGCGCCGCGCTCGCTGTCGGGTCACGATCACCAAACCCCCAGAGGACCCCGTCCCCACCCCTGGAGCGCGGCCCCGGCCCGGGCGGGGCTCCCCCGGCGCGCGGTACTTACGGCGATGCCGTGTCCGAAGCCGGAGCCCGGCTGCGGGCTGGCGGCGCTTATGTAGTTACCCACGCCGGAGTCCTGGCTGGCCGTGCCGTAGAGATCCGCGACGGGCCCGGGGCTGTTGGCCCCGGGGAAGCCTCCGGGCCGCGCTGGGTTGGAGCCTGCCGGGGAAGCGGGTGCGCCAAAATTCGGTTGAGCACTGTAGCTATTCAAGACTGGTGTGCAGAGAATAAAGCTGGGTATGAGGCCAGACGCCGGGCATGCACCGGTATTACAAAGCCAAACACCAGAATAAACAGCCTAGGCCCAATTCTAACACTTAACCAAGGCCATGCGAGAGGAGAGCAAGTACTGGAGAAGAGTCAGCCCGGACTACTACGAAGCTTAGAGCTCCAAAAATATATATATGGATATATATAAAAAAAAAAAAAAAAAAAAAAAAAGAACAATCATTCAACACACTACTGCAACCAGAGACTGGAGGTGCTCATTTTCACCAAATTATCACAAAATATAATAGGTATTTTTCAACATCTGACTTGATGCTCATGCAGTAGTAACAAGTTCTCTAGGTCTGGGCACGCCGAGACAGCATTCACATCCCATGCAAACTACAAAGGAACTAGTTTGAGACTACACATTGTGGTAATATTGATATTAAAATGTTGACAGTAAATAACTTCAATCACGTCTAGGAAAATTGGTATTTTTTGGATCCATTCGATACTTTTGGAAAAAACCCGCCCTTTTAGATCAGTAAGCTGTAGAAATAGTTCAATAGTTAATTTTTTTCTTTAAATGGTATGGAATGGAACAGTTTGGATTTTTTTTCTTTTAAATACGACCAAGGAGAGTGTTGTTTTATTTAATTTTTTTCCTTTTGATTTGGAGAGCGAAGACCTACCTTCGTCTCCAAAACCATGCTTGGGACATCAACCAAAATTAAACAAATAAATAAAGATCAAAAGCAAAAAAATAATTCCAGAGGGTGGATGACAACTCACCTCCTAACGTGGAAGTAAAGGAATATTTTATTTTTTTCCTCCCTTTATAATTTTTTTTTTTTTTTGAGAAAGAAAAACAATGTAAATAAGAATGACACTAAAGAAGAGACTTAGATATTAAAGCATGTTAGATGATCAGGCCTCTGGCATTTCTCACGGCTGCCCTTGGATGTAGAATTTATGAGTAAGAAGTTTCAATGCAAAAGAAGTCAGCGGACGGGGAGGAGCTGGATGGAGATGGCTGCGGGAAGCTGGAGCTACACCTGGGTGGTACCTGCAGGGTCCCTCGGGAGCACACAGAGCCTGGTCCCCCCCACACCCCTGGGGCCTCACGGTGTCCCCACCGCGGGCAGCCCCGAGACACGAACGGCCAACATGGGCAGCGGCGCCCAAACCACCAGGCACCCAACCCCATCCCCTCCAGCACCAGCCTTCCAGGCTGAACCAGCACTTCTTCAGCCTTTTCCTCTGGCTGCAACTTCCCACCATCTTCATTAAACACTGCAGTGGGTTAGAAAGCCTGCAGCCTGCACTGTCCCTCCCCACAGGGTCGGACTGGCCCGGGGTTTTCCTGGGCATGGGAGCCAACCCAGGAGCGAGCCCCGTGCTCTGGCTCTGCCAGCACTGCCCACGGGCTGTGGTGGGCTCAGCCTGACCTGCTGTGGAGCCACCGCCCGTCCTGCCCTGGCCCCTTCCCCTGCAGCGCCCGCCCAAGGGGTCCCCGCTTTTCAAATGGATGAATTAACTGGTCAAAAAAAAGGCCACCCTGCAGTTGGTGGCTTTGTGGTGACAGGAAAGCCAATTTTACAAAATAAACGATTCACTGCAGCTCTGAACCGGTAGCAGGGGAGGGTAAGTAGGACATCTAAGCTAGCAAGTTAAAAGAAATAAGGCATCAGAGAGTAAACAGATTTTGGACTTTGCTGGCAAACAAAGTGCCTTTTTTATTATTAAAGATTAAATGTCAAGATAACATTTGGCCTTCTCACTCGTGAAGAAAAATATCCAGCTGATGTTCCAAAGCCCTTTATTACTAGAAGCCAGCACTTTTCCCTTTTTTCCTCCTTCTGGTTCAATAAAACGGATGTGAATTTTCCTGCCAAGTCACACAGAAAACCCAGTCGGCCTGTCTGAGCGACAGCAGGAGCACAGCAGTGGGACACTGCACAGAGAGGGGGATCCTGCTGGTAAAACACTCCTGCAAACCCCGTGGCAGCACCAGGGAAGGCCATCACCACCACCCTGGGGCATGGGCAGGGACAGACAGACAGACATCACTGTGGCACCCAGAGGGACAGGGCTGTGCCACTGACCCGTGACCACAGAGCCATGCAGGGTGACAAGGGGCACACCTGTGTGTCCTGAGACCTTGGGAAGAGCAAACAGAGACTGAGGAGCCAGAGAAATGCTCTGCCCCTCCACTCTCATTGGCCCCTCTAGGATTGGAAATGCCGTTTTCACACCTGCAGGAAGACCTGGCACTGGGTTATTCAAAGTCCTGACTGCAGGTAGGTAACGTAAGAAAAAGGTAATTTTTCCATCTACTGACCCTGGGTTGAATGTTCCACGCTGCTCACAGGAGTGGCCATGGAAAACAGGCACGGCAAAGGCTGCTCCACCACCCAGCAAGTGCTGTGCAGAGGCTGGGATGCCCTGGCACTGCTCCAATGTGATGCCTGAAAAACTCTACAGAAAGGGCTGGAAGCTTTTCCAGAGCTAACATTTCACTCCAGATCCAATAAATGAAACAGAAAGCTCCCAGAATCAGCGGGAGGCTCAGCACGCCTCAGAAAGCCACATTCTAATGATTCGCTCAGCCATGGTTGGTTGCTAAATATTTGTCTTCTTCCAAGAGCTCAGGTGAGCTCACATGGAGCAACAGGCACTTTTACCACTGCTGGGAAACAACAGCAAAGGGGACCTTGAACAACTTCCCCAACACACAAATCCTGACGTTTTTCTTGTAAGAAACACCTGGAAACGAGTTTGTTTTACACAAACCTGGAACAATATGAGACTCAAAGGAAGAAATAAAAAATGCCTGAAATCCTCCAGACACTGCTTCAGCAAGAAGAGTTAAGACTTTGTGGAGATGTGTCATGACATTATGACATTATGACAAAGCTGTGAGGAGGCAGGAGCTGTGCAAGTGCCATGGCTGCTGTGAGCTGTGGAATCACAGAGCACTAACATGAACTCCTTGCAGGCTGGAAGGAATTGGAGACTTTCCCCTGGCCACTGACAACTCATGGCAAGAAAAGCATTCAGGGCAGACATCTGGAAGTTCATTGCTGAAGAACTCTCAGGGGACTGTGCTGCCCCAGGAGAGGAGGGAACCACTGACTGTACCCTGATGCCAGTCAGTGTGGGCCTGACCTGCTGCCTGGTCCCAGCAGAGGCACCGGCCGAGCTGACCACCAGACTGATTCAGCACTGCCTGGGGGCTGGTAGGGCCATCTCTTCCCCTTGCAAGGACTGCCAGCACTCAGGAAATCCTGGCAAAGAACCCATTTCCAACATGCCCTGAAAGGTTCCAGTCCCATTTCCCAACCGATTGCTCAGGAAGCAATCCTGCACCAGGTGACTTCACAGCTCCGAGGCTGTGGTTAAGTGCCTCCAGCTCAAAGGCTTCCTCTACGCATAATTTGCAATCCCAAGTGTCCCCTGGAAGCCCTGTGATAGATCAAGGTCAGGAGAGATGTGGAAAAGATTAGATGTGTCTGTAAGTCACAGCCAACCACCTTTCATCTTCAGCCCCAGTGATCCTCCATCCTCTGGGCTACAGAAGCTCCTTCCTATGCCGATGGAGATCAAGGGCCAGCAGTCAGGAGCTGTGGCAGTGATGGGAACAGGGCAGTATAATGTCTTGCTCGCTTCACTTTGAATTTGCTGTGGTTTCTTACAGAAAAGGCTCTGAGCCAGTGAATTTTGATCAGCAGGTGAACGTTTGCCTGCAGGCCAGAGGGACAGGGAGCCTCGGGCTTATTCTGCCCAGTGTCACGGTGCCTGGGGGAGTGCTGAAAAGCAGCCAGGGAAAGTAAGATGGGGCACAGAACATTATAAAAAATGCAGCTCCACAAAGCAGCCCCAGAACAGGCTTTTTTTTTAATGCCATGTGTTGGTGCTGGTGGAGTTGGGAGCTGCTGTGCAGGGCTGGCACAGTAAGAGCTGGACCTCTCCAGGCAGTGTGGCTGCTTTACCATCGACTCCTCCTGTGTGCTGCAGCAGAGCCGTCTTTACCCACACCTGACACGCGTGTAAGATGATTTTCAGTGCTCAGGCAACAAGTGAGTCATGTCAAGGAGCCAAGAGCTGGACCCCCAAAGAGCCTGGCAGCCCAGGCTGGGGCAGGGGCAGGGGCAGGAGGCTCAGGGCTGGGCGCAGGGATGTGCAGCCAGAGCCTTCTCCTGCAAACTGCCACGTTAACACAGACCCTGCTCACACGTTAATCCGTGTTCTGCAAGAAAGGTCATCACCGAAAGATGAACTCTCTCTCAATGAACTCTTGAGAAATCGCTAAGTCAGGGTTCCTGCTGACATTTGCCTTACGAGCAGCGCGTTACACTAACGAGGATCCCGATGCCACGGGGGTGGAGAGGGCAGCTGGGCAAAGCACAACCAGCTGGATGCTGGAATCCCACCCAAACAGACTCCATTCAGCACGAATGATGAAGGGAAAGAGGGAGGGGAAAGGAGAAGAAACGTGAGGACTTTGACATTACTGTCCTACAAGGGGGACTCACACAGTACCAGGCTGACAGTCAGGCCCTTCGGGACTACTAAATGAGACCACTAAAATAAGCTGTAGTTCAAAGGAAACCAACCAGGGGAAATAGGGACAGAGGAGACAGACACTGCATGGGGATCACTGTCCCCTGCACACAGCCCACCTGGAGCCTTGGGTGACACTCCTTCCTCTCCTACAGCACCAAAACCCAAAGACAAACACCATTATGGGGGAGTAATAACAAATATGAGTATTTCAGAAAAAAAAAGATGAGGAAGGGTGCAGAACGTGGTTGGAGAAATGTGTGGCTGCCTTCCCTGTCCCCGTGCAGGCAAGGAAATCCTCAAGTGGGAAAGAAACCACCACGATTTACCGAATTTCCTCTCTGAGCAGAGGCAGGGTATTCAGGATGAGATATAGCACCCTGTTACCACAGCCAGAAATACAGTTTGCACTTGAGAAAGGAGCTGAGAGCAGAACAGAG